GGTAGGGTTAGTTCAAAAACTAAGGGCCCCCAACAGTCAGGGGCCCCCATCATCCACAGTCTATCGCCCAGAAAATTGGAAAACGTAAAAAATGCAGGTGTCAAGAATCAATGGGAAAATGCGAAATTAATAGTGCTAAATAATAAAGCCTCCATCGACGACAGTAGCTGATTTTTTTATGCCATCTCAAATAAAACAAAAGTTATTCATAAAAGTTGTTACATATGTTGGAGACTGTTATTGTTATTGTTATAGACACGGAATTTTCCAGAACATTCTATAAATATTCAATATAAATATAATATCTCAGTCAAACAATGACAACAGGGGCCCCCACACAGAATATGCCTAAGGGCCCCCCTTCCTCCGTTACGCCACTGGTTTCCTTAGAATCAGAAATTTTGCAAAGTTTTACCGCCATTTGCAATTGACCGTGCGGCATGCACAAATTAAATATTATCTAAGAAATTCTAAGGAATTTTGAGATTTCAAACATTTAGAAGCCTTAAAATATCTCAGTGATCAAGTATTTCATTCTGCTTTTGCACATAATTTGCCAACGCATTAAACAACTGTTTTTTTATGTCATTTTTGTACATTTTGTACATTTTGTGTCAGTGTAGGTAGTGGCAATAATAACTAAGTTTTCGCTGATAGGGATACAACTATCTGAAAAATATAAGGAGAACTTCGACGTTTCGAGCAAAGCCCTTCGTCTGGAGTTACTAATATAGTTGCATATACATTACTTGATATTATGGCAGTATTGTGATATTTGCTATATCAAAGTTATCAAATTAAACACCAAACTTATCTAGCCTTGAAGATGGTGAGTGGTGTAATGATAACATATATAAGTTTGAATGTCATTTATGATTTCATTTATTATTATTTATAGCCTACAATGCTACATTTAAACTCCCAGTCATCCTTAGTTTTTTATCTGTACTTCGCTCGATCGGGAAAGTCCATAATACTGATCCTAAATTGAAGATACAGAGATGAGCATTAGGGCTAGGATTATAGGGTACATGTTAACGTTTTTTTACCGTAAATTTCAATCAATAGGAACCTCGATAGGAACAACAAATCCAATCGTAATGTTTGTTGCGGGTGCAGCCGTAACTCTTGCCATCGTGCTTGTTGTCATATTTGCAATTCAAATATACAAAAGACGACGCCATGCTTCTAAGTTATCGAGTAGTGTTCTTGCAGTAGACACAATCGAAATGCAAAATGAAACAGCACCAGAGGCATCGCAGAATAATCAGGTAAGTGTTTCTAATCCATGTTGTTCATAATTGGTGGCTAGCTCAATTGCTCAAAAGGAAAAACAGGATTGCTCGGGGTTTATACTGGACAGCTCTGTCCTAGGTCCAGTAAAGGTCTACCCCACTGAGCTATAATATTACAGTATATATATATATATATATATATATATATATATATATATATATATATATATATATATATATATATATATATATATATATATATATATATCGATATAAAACTCATCGAAAATATACAATTTCGATCAGGGAAAACCCATTTTTAGAAATCTTTGGCTAACGATTTGAAGAAAATTAATTCATCTCCCAACATTTTCATTTTTGCAGACAAAACTAGAAATATTTATGAAGCCTCGCTCGACACATACAACAAGCTCTTACATGACAACATTACCAAAACATATAAACATGGATCCGAGGACACTATAGACGAAATTGACTCTGAATTAAAAAACATTTCGAACAATTTAGGAATCGGCGACAGAATTGAAAAAATGAAAAAACGTGAAGCATTTATATCCTTAAAAGACCACAAAGAAAATTTCGAGAACAATCCAAAATGCCGGCTAATTAATCCCGCAAAAAGCGAATCAGGAAAATTGAGCAAAATTATTTTAGATGAAATTAATTCCAATTTGAGACAAAAACTAAATTTGAACCAGTGGAGAAATACAAAACAAGTAATTGAATGGTTTGGAAATATAAAAGACAAAGAAAGACATAGTTTTATTTCGTTTGACATCGTTGATTTTTACCCATCCATTTCGGAAAAGCTTTTGGACCAAGCCTTATCTTGGGCTTCTAATTTAACTACCATTTCGGATAATGATATTTTGATCATAAAACACGCCAGAAAATCTCTGCTTTTCAACACCGGAAAACCATGGACAAAAAAAGATAGTGAAGGTTTGTTTGACGTTACCATGGGCAGCCACGATGGCGCCGAAATATGTGAATTAGTTGGCCTTTTCATCCTAAATCACCTAAGTAAGAAGTTTGGCAAAGAAAGCATCGGCCTATATAGAGACGACGGTTTGGCTCTTATAAAAAGTAAATCGGCACGTTTAGCAGACAAAACAAGAAAAGAACTCCACAAAATTTTCGAGCTGTTTGACCTAAAAATCACCGCTGAATCAAATTTACGCATAGTGAACTTTTTAGATGTAACTTTGAATCTTAACAACGGAAAATATAGGCCCTATAG